TAACCTTAAGTCTGGAGTGGTGCACCGCCATGTTATTTGACATATTTCGGTCGGATGAATCTCGGTTTGTTCAAGAATACTTTTTTCAGTTCTGTAGGTTGTGGCCTGTCGAATATTCGGATAATTTGATGCGGTAAGGATTTGAAAGTATGTGGCCATGGTTTGTTTTGCGATGCTGTACCGGCAGTGGCGAGGAGGGTCTTCGAGCAACTGCTTTTCCTTCTGCCTTCAGAAGCGCTAAGGCCTGTGGCTGTTCCGCTCTGTTGCAGCTTGGGTCTCCCTACGGACAGCAGCAGTTGGTTAGCGGGGTGTACGGCGACCAGCGGGGAACCTGGGCCCAACCTCCGAACCCCCAGCAGCCCCCAAGTCAGCCCCCGCCCCTCCAGCACCCTCCACCCCAGCCGTCGCCACAGCATCAACCCCAACCATCTCCACAGCCTCAACATCCGCCCCCGTCCCCAGGCCAACATCCGCCCCCGCAGCAGTCACCTCAGCAGGCGCCACCCCCAGCCCAGCACTCACACCAACAGCAGCAACCGCACCCCCCTCAGTCGCACACACAGGTAAGATGGAAGGATAATATTAAAATGAATCTCATGGAAAATGGGGCATTAATGTAGCTCAGAGGACCTCCGGGTTTCATAAAAAGACGGGGAACGTCGGAGTCAGAAAAGGCAAAACATGAGACAAATTCGTATTTGTAACTAAAATAATAAATCTTACCAAGATTGCTGTCTTGGGTTGTAGCGTCCTGTAGTCTAGTGGACGTTTACTAAAGTTTCAGAGGTCCTTGCTGCCTCCATTATCAGGGCGACAGGTGTACGTGTACCAGACTACGCGGCGCGACAACCCTGAAGATAACCATGTTAGGAATTTCCGCCGTGAGAACCTCAAATCCTACCCAATAAATCTTTGGTTGCATTTATTTAGTACTAAGACTACTCACACTTTCTTGAAGATCGTAAGCAAATGAAGTGGCGTTCGCATCGCATTCAGGGTTCTGTTCTGGTATTAATGTTGATAGACGTAGGAAAAGCACGACAGTCCTCAGAATATTAACTCTGTACTTTCGTTGAGATTCGAACTGAATATTTGCAGGGTGTGCACCAAGAATTCTTTGCCCGTGTTTAAGCTTGTCGTGGGATAAGTCACCCACACATTGCATTGTGCAATAGTTTAACGTCTTATCTCGGCGTGCTTCTTGTCTGTACTCCCCAGACGTTGGCTGGCGTCATATCGTGTGAGATAAACCGTTTGACTTCCTACCGCACGTTGAACTTTATTTCTTCCCCGCCCCCACCCTTTCTCAGATGACTGCGAAACACAAAACTCACAGAAATAACCTTCCTTCCCGTTGTCAGTGTCCAAGCACCGTCTTTAAGACTTGAACCACTGTGAATTGCCGACATGTACACGAGGTGACCACTTTGAGGCGGCAGCCGCTCTGTTCCCTGGGAAATATCTCCCGGTACCCTTTGAATAGAAGAATGTGTTGGGCCCCAGAGCAGGTTAAATATGACGTAAAGAACGAGGCTTTGACGGAGTATTAACCCTGGTCATCCACGTCGTAGCTGGTGTTTTTACGGAAAGAAAGTAGGCAACAGATATGGAAAAAGTTTCTGATGTATAAAGTGAAGGTTTCGCGGCGACTGACGTTGAAGAAAGACTCTCGGGTTACGAGCCGCGTCAGGTGGCTGAATGGTGAATAAACCATATCTTCTGACAACGTTTCGAGAGCAATCTCAGCTCTCATCCTCAGGGCTGCTGCGTAACAAATCTGGTCCTTTGTAGCGCGCTCGCCGATGGGAACTGAAGACGTGGTTTGTTCACCATTCAGCCACCTGACGCGGCTCGTAACCCGAGGGTCTTTCATCAACTTCCAAGTACCCGCTGGAACGAGGCTGGGTGGGTCACACAGCAGATCTGGACGCGTTACCTGAGAGAAATTTCTTGCCCCTGCCGGGAATAGAACCTGGATTATAAATTAGAGTGCTACTTTCGTTTAAGTTGTTTGCTCTGCTCTGTGTGTATTTCGTTGGATGTGTTCGCTGAGTGTATGGGGCAGACATTGGATGTGAAGTGAGACGTATGAAATTTCGTGACATCCAGTTAGCAGTTGATGAGTAATCACATCTTTAGCCTTGAATGAAAATGGACCGGAGGCAGGTTTTGTGCATGCGCGCTGAAGGGATTTGCCGTCACAACATTACAATTTTGAAACAGATTTTTTTTAGGATTTGTAGCCGGTACGGAGGTTGCAGTAGGTTTCACAACATACCTGTTTTACATTTTATATGTTCATACTCTTTAAGTGTATTTTGGAGTCGGTGGTATCTCAGTCACTAGGCTATGCAGTGCGTCTCCTGCGCCTTCGCAATTTTGATTCTATAATGAGAAGTGCCTTGATTATTTTTCTTCATGATTTTTTTGTGACGTCTAACTTTTCCTGGGCACCTTTTCGTTTTTATTTTACGTTTTCTAAGGAATCCTATTTATAATGCTCAAACGAAGGGCGTGGTAGCAGAATTGTGGGTTCAAGCTCATCACATCAGTTAGAATGAAAAATGTTTGTTATTTTAACTCTCATTTTGTAAAAAGGAAAGCAGTTTTCGTCTCGTTTCTGCATTTTCTTGTGTCCAGTTCTCATGATTTAGTTTGAACAATACAGAATATTTTATTGCACGAAAGAACATGCTCAGATTGAATGCGATTTCATTTGTTAAAATAGAACGTAGGGAATGCTTCAAAATTTACCTGAAAGGAAAATGTATTGTACCTTTAAATCGTCGGGGGGGGGGGGGGGAAGTCATGTGGAGAATTGACTGCCTCGTAGGGGATCTCGGACATTTCCCCCGCACTGAGCAGAGATGCTACATCGGTTGGTACTTCTGACGGCGAGGCTAACCGTAGCTGTACAGTTTTAGTAATGCGTTATTCCACATTGAACGAGTTCACAAAACCCGCAGTTTGTAAAGTCCGTGATGAACATTACGTCACGTCACGAAATAATGGCGCACAGCTCTGCACAATCGTGAATTAACGAATGCGCTGATCCCCAGGCTTGCGCGTAGTGGAATAATCAACTCTGGTCGACTCAACTGGGGATTCACGTTACTCTTTCTCATTGAAAAATACGTAACGCGGTTAAATTTAATGACATTCGTTTTAACTGTTTTGAAAAATTTATTTTTAGTTCCAGACATATGATGATAATTTTGGTTTTCGCTACGTAAAATCAAATCAAATTTTAAATGTTTCAACGAATTTGGCCTAGACGCGATATTAGCTGAAATCGAGGATGGGGTATACATGTAGAACAAAGTCTCAAAGCAGAAATCATGCAGTCATTGTGTCACAGTAGTATTTAAAGTTGGCCCATTCTACTGTCTACCCTTTCTGCTGGTATCGGAAGCTAATTGTAATGTTTCTTTCAGCCCCCGTATCCAAACCGGCCGCAGCAGCCGTCGACACCCAACGCGCATGCTCCAGACACGGGGGTAAGTTTCTTTTTTTACTCAGTTTGTACTATCATCAGTGTGTGCAGTGATACTGGGGCAAGAATTTTAATTTATATTCTCCCGTGGTGAACCCTGAATACACGGTAGTTGTTGGTTTATTGATACTTCCAAGGCATTCGTTTGTAAGCTCCAGAATGCCCGGAATTTTGTCTTTGCCTTCAGTATTGATATTCGACTTCAACGCATAAACTTTCTCCCTCTCTCTCACCCACTCAGTCATCTTGAGGAAACGTATTGCCTTAAATTTAAAACAAATTTTAAAATATTTGACAAATCAAAGATTTGTTTTTCTATTTTCATAGCTGTAGGTTTGTGAAGTATACGAGTAGAAATGTCTCTTATAACCAATAAGCAGTCTAAGTCGTATACGAGATTTTTGGAGTCTGTATTATCTTTCATTAGTAGCAAAACGATGATAATTTCATCATAAAATTTTGGTCGTCACAGTTACAGTCATGACTCGTAATTGAAGTACAGTCTGTTTATGATGAAGTGTGTCTAAGGACATGCGGGTGAGTAGACGTAAGTAAATAGGAAGGTGGACCTAAATTGGTTATTTTGCTTTCTATTGGCCGTGTTTGGCGCCTAATGGATCTGTGAACACGAAATTAAGAAAATTATTCTGTAACTGTAGAAAGCAACCCAGAAGACAGCTGTTTTCAAACTCGCAGCGCTGAGAAACTCAAATTGATTGGGAATTTGGAAGTCTATAAGTAAGTAGTTGCTATTGAATGTTAACTCCCCGTGGGAAAATTAAGTTGCTGTTAATAGTGATTCTCCGCAATTTTCGAGACTTCGTCATATTTAAATGCCACTGTCACCATTGCAGATAAAATTCAGAGTGCCTATAGACTAGGTCGAAGGACGCTGTTGTTCTATGTTGCTGTTCCGACCATGAGTCGTGTTTTGTTTGAAATATGTTGGTCATTTTCTTTTTGTATCGAGCTGTAGTGTGTAATCAAAAGCTCATTTTGTGATGCGACGCGGTCATAGTGCAGTGCCCATAGCTGGCAGATATAAATCCTCCCGTCCGCCGTGTCACTGACGATGGATATTTTAGATACGGGTGGGGGACAGTGCAGCAGGCGAATTGCCTGACAGTTGGTTGGCTCCATGGGGCTTTCCGCCCATTTCAACTTCCCCCCATGAAGCCCGACATAAAGTGCGCGGGGTGGGCTCCCGGGTTCAGAGCTCGTTCTTTGTGTTCGTTGGCGCTGTTGCCTGTTTCTCCCGCGAGGCCCAATTATACCCGCATCTTCGCCAGCTCGGCATGTTGGCTGTGGGAAAGCGACCGGCCGCTTCTCGCGCTCAGCTCTGAAACTTTTGACCTTCTGGAGTGGGCGTGCAGTGTGGCAACTCGGTACGTGTGTTTGCAGGCTTTCAAGCGGTCGAACAAGCCCGGCACACTGTTGCCACGTCGTGCCGTCACAAAAACTGGCAGGCTTGTTTTCGGACATTCCTTCCTCTACGATTCGATTCCACGCACTGGGAATTTATCACGAGGATTATGGACGACATTGCCTTACAAAGTAATTACAAGCATTGGCAAGAAACCGGGATTCCGGCCGGTTGGTTGGGTGACTCGGGGTTAGTGTTTGTGAGGGAAGCTGGTAAGACAACCACACGGCTCTCTGCCAGGTGAGGTTAGCGGACGTGAAGAGACGAGTTTCTTTATGCAGCGGGCCTGGGAGTGGAGGTACAACTCTTGTAAGGGCGAGAATCGCGCGGCTCGCCGTTATCTTTTGGAGGCAACTAGTCCTAACGACAGACGCGGGGCCGGTCTCTAACAAATGACGGCATGGTTGGGGGGACCTCGACTGCCGGATTGGATAGGCTGACGCCTCTGCTGCTTGCTTTTCCTCGGCGAGTCTACTCCACCGTCCAAGGATGATGGGTAGGTTAGGCAGATGCATTCCCCTAGCTCCATTTTACCCCATTTCTATGCTGCCATTGTAAAAGCGGGTTCATTAATCAAAACAAAAAGAGACTCATTCTATGCTTAAAAAAAGAAACATCCCTGGAATATTGTTATGTGCGGACTTTTCTTTCTGGATTAGGGCTGAAAAATGTGCGCGATTATTCACACAACTTTGCCTTTTGTTTGGAAACAAATGGCCAAAAATACAGCGAAGCCGTTCTTACAAATATTTACTCGTCTTTCGAGATTGCAGCTCCTTAGCTCAGCGTTCTGTCTCAGGTTTTATGTTGTTATGGGATAATTTTCTTTGTGCGTTGTCCATTGGGCAAAAGAAATATGCACGACGTTTCGGGGGCTGGCCCTGAATTTTGTCAGTATTTTTATCTGTGTATTTTTTGTACACAAACCATGCTGGTGCAGCAGTCAGTCTTGCCTGCATTGAGAAGTTGATGGTCGCTCAGTTTGTCAACAAATTTTCTGATTACATCGGAACTGTAGGAATTGGTTTTTTCCCCTTTCTTTTACAAAAGCCTTCCAATGGACAGTATTCTGAGTCAGAAAGTTTATTCCAAACCCCGGACATCGTTCGGTGTAGCGGTCTAGAATTGAACTCTCCAAGAACTCGCTTCTAACCTCGGCTGCCCTGCGTTTTAGTCTACGCCTCTGAGGAATGCAGGTATAATACCTTAAAATAAGGCACGACCAACTTGCAACATTTTCTTTTATACGAAAAAAAAATATTGGACGGGCCTCAGAAATGTACTCAGCGGTTTCTTTATCCAGACAATGGGCATCTCACTGAAATATTTAAGATCTATTATAGTAGGAGGTGCTGAAAGTGATGGACAAAGCAGGTAGGTAGGATGAAGATTGCAGGGATTTTTAAGCCGAAGGTCGAAGGCTATGTGGAGGAGGTTATTGCGGCCGACAGAGGTATTACGTATGAATTAGGGTAGTTCATAACATTCTTTGGGTTTTGACGGCACATAAACTCGTGGGTAGGTGCCAGCGTTTCGGAGTATATACTGTTTCAGGGCTGAGGATGAAGACAACATGTTTCTCTGAAACGTTGGCATCTACACCTATTTGAGTATATGGCTTGAAAACTCAAGATCATCATCATCCTCGCCATCGCCAGAAGCCCCCAAATCTCACAAGATAGGTCAGCCGGTAAATACGCTGACTGGAGGAGCTGGATGACGTCAGCAGGATGAAGATTATATTTTCTCTTCGCCGCAGTTGTCTTTCGACCTGCTCTATTCGGTGGGTAGGAAGTAATGCGGATTGTGTGGAGCTTTATCTTCACTCCCTCTACACGCTTTCACGGTTTGGTACTTAAGCACAATGACGGCCATTAAGATGCCTTGCCCGTGAAGACAAGAAGACTGAGCAGCGGCCAAATGAAATACTCGCGTGACAACTTGGTAGGTGATCCAGCGGTCTTAATTGCTGTGGCATGGCGTGTTCAGCACTGCGCGAACTGGCACAAAAAGTTGTATGGCGGGTTTCGGCGACGAGGACTGGAGAGAAAACGAGACTAGCCCCGAACTTCTTTCGAATTATAAGACCTGTCCTGACGCGGAGCGCTCCATGCGGGAATTCTGTTTCGAAACGTATTTCCAACTTTCGGATTTGGATTGGGATGTCTTGTGTCTTTGGCTGACGACCGCATCGGATGAGGACGCGCGCACACATGAATTATCTTCACGGAAGAGGGTCTGGCTTCTTAGCATTTGATATTGCGACACAATGCAGTTTAGTACAATAAGTAATTTTTCTATGAATGTACTGTGTCAGCTTTTCGCTTTTATTATTTTTCTTATCGTCCATCCGTTCTTCACTCCTCAGTTCCGTCTTTCTTCTCCCTTTCTTGTTTATCCACACTTTCCTTTTACTGTTATTTCAACTTTCCACCTTTCGTTCCCTTCTCTGTTTCGACCACATAAAGAATAGTAAAGAACAGAATTACTAGGCTGTAGGTTGCCAAGAGTTTCAGAGGTCGTAGCTGCCTCTATCATCAGGACGATTATTTGTTTCAGGAACACGGCTTAGAAATGATGCCGACATTTCCCAAGAATTGTATGTCGTATAAAATGATAACATGTCCTCTGAAGTGTGCGTTGTACGCAAAATGGCGACGTTTAGAATTTCTGCAGGAGACCACTAGACAGACGTAAAGTTCGATTGTCTGGTTCATAGTTGTACACATTCCCCGAAAGATTCTTTGCAAAAAAAAAATGTTAAAGGTGAAAGGTGCTTGCTTGCCTTTAAAGCAGATATTCCATAAAACATTTCGATCCTTTAAATTTTTGACATTGTGAGTTTTATTTACTGTAATTATACGTGAAGAAACTTTTTAAACAATGTACCAACAGACGGGAAAAGATTAGACATTTTTACAGAGGCTTGTTACTTTTTTCGGAGCACGTGAAATATCTCATTACTACCATGGGCAGGATTAAAGGCTAATATCTGCATTTAACTGTCTGTTTCTCCAGAAGACACGTGTAAAGCTTAAAAAAGCGCATCTTCCAAAGAACCCATTCCCAAAAGAATGTTATATATATCTATCCAGATTTATAATAGAAAACTAAACGTAAACTCAGGCAACATTAACCCATCGTCACGACCTTCCAGATGCCCTGTTTTTCTTTTTTGCATGGTAAGTTGCCATGTAAAGATCGCCGGTATTGTTTTTGTTTTCCTGGAGGAAGAAGTTCGAATTTGTCTCATTGCTGTGTATGACAGCAACAACAAAAGCCACCACCTGTCAATCTCACGCCCAACCTCTAATGACTGGCAGGCAATTAAAGGAAATACTACTACTCTACTCTACAGTTACTTTTGGTTTGGCTCATCCATTCAGCTTGCAGATGCCCCAGGGCCTGTTAGCATTGCCTCATCTCTGCAGCGCGTTATAATTTACTTCACGTCACGGAGGAGATATGAATGGACTTCCTCATCCTTGTTTTTATCCTGTGTGGACATGGTCAGACACAATCACGTGGCAGCGAAATCGCAACAAGGTGTTTCCCCTTTTAGGTTATGTTTGCACGAATTA